TTCGAGCGTTCGTGTCTTCCAGAAGCATCGAGGATCGTGACAGAACAGGGTATCACGATCCAGGATCTTTAGACAGTGGATGTTCGTTGGTGAAATCATCAGGCTAGGTGAGAGTAACTGTAGAATGAGGTGCTTTCATATTTTTGTTAATGTAAACCTTTGAGACTACTCTTCAACATCAACGGATCATCCTATCATGTATTGAAGTATTCAACTGAACATGGTTCTCTACATTTCCTGTGGTAGGTATTGAATCTGTGATTCTTCTACACTACCGAGGAAAAATATGGGACCAGAGCTATTAATATAGAAATTATTGCCAATTAGTTTTAGCACGTTACATTTATCAAATCTTCGTGGAATAATATTGTTCTCTCTTTTTAATTATCAGACCTGGTCCCATACGTTTGTAGTGTACGTTTGTGAATGGTTTTGTCCTTCGAAAGTTGTAAGTAGAAATGTATCCCAGGTCTTCAGAGGTAGTACGACTTTATTACACATCGAACTAAATACACAAGAGATTAAAAACCACGATGAAATACTCAAGTAGCCAAACACTAAGGTCCAGATTGGGGTTGTCAGTGAACCTATCCACGATCCATGAAGAGCCCGTAGCACCTGCGAAGGCTACCCGTCCAAGAATTTCAGAATGCACAAACTATAAGAATCTTTGATCACTCTGTCGATTACTGTCTTCACCTTTGGCGAAGCACTTGCAAACACAACACGGTGTCTTTCAATCCCGTTGCGACCGAGTCAAACAAACAAGACAGATCCTGTGTACGCGAGTAGACGTCGAGTCAGACAGGAGTCTCAGGTGGGTAGGGGCATGGGGGAATATACAATCAGTGTGATTGTTTGACACCCCATAATCAGCGTCCTTACCCCTACCACGTCTGTGTCTCTGCTGTCGTCCCTCTCTCCACCTCAGCGAGTTACTCCGTTTCGCTCGAGCCAACGGTCCTCAGGTACACGGTCCGCTGCCACTGCCGGAGCCTCATTACCCCGATCACGACTCGAGATGAGACTCGAAGGAAGAAGACGAGAAACGGACACGGTTATATTATAAGAGACAGGAATATAATGCTCGCTTCCCTTTTTTCTTCACCCGGAGACCTTCTGGCCGAGGTCGTTGCTGCCCTTCCACCAGGAACACGAGTCGTGTCTCTGCCCCGTGTTTGTGATCCGCGTAAACGCGTGTTTCGCTGGGTATATTGTTGGATATTTACGTCTTGAACACAGGGAAACTCGAATGTTGTCAATCTTCTTATAGAAAATGGGAAAGGGTATGAAGAGGAATGGATGAGATTTTTAGAGTAGGTATCAGGGTCAAAGCTTTTTGGATTATTGAACTTGAAGGTGTTGCAATTTCCCTGGTCAAGATGCAGATAAGGTATTACAAAGGAATGAAGAAGGGGAACGTTGGAGATAATGAAATATTCTAACATCAGAGGGATATAAGCCACCACCTGAACCTAATCTGGAGCTCTTCTCAGTTTTTTAATTGTTCAGCTGACCAATTAACAATGTATTTTAATTGGTAAGTAATGAACCAAAACATGAGCAAGCTCCAGTAGACTAGTGGAGCACCACAAGGCACACAGAAGTATTAGTGTGTCATTGAAAATGATTCCACCAGGACACGGCCTACATCCGAAAGCCTCAATAGTAATAACTCTATGATGTCGGCCAGTGAAAGCCTCGAATCTCTGACAAAGGAATGAAGCTTGCCAGCTTCTGAAATATAAAGCTTCACTCAAGGTTTCCTCGACCATTCTACTTACAGTAGAAAATGGTAGTAGAAGAATTGATCTTTTTGGATGGCAGCGAAGAAGAAGAATGGAGATTTTGAACTCCTAGGATTCAAAGAGTGCAGCCTCTGCCATCGAAAGTTTTCTTAACGCAATAGACGTACCTACTTGTATATTATCCTCAGAATACCAAGACTCTGGGCGCCAAGAAAGTGTCCTCCATTGGCCAAGGAAAGAAAGTATAAAATTTCTAAAGTATCCAAGGTGTCCTGGATTATTTCGCTGGTACAGCACATTCCGCCATAAAAAGAACACCCGAGCCACCAGGAACATGTCGTCCCAGCCTCGAAAAACGAAAACGATCGGGAATACTGAACTAAAAAAACCCCCCTCTAATCTACAGTACCCAGTGATCCTGCATCGTTCTCCTTACATCGTACCATTCGATTCGTGCCATAAACGCGCGAGCGATCGTCGGTATCGGTGCTCGGTCGTGTAAAAAGAAGAAGATTGCCCGCACGATGGAGGAGGATAGGTTCGATTCAACAACCGTCTGGCGATCGCAAGCGAACCGAGCCCGAAGACAAAAGGAGAAGCAACCAGCAACGGCGGGGTCCCCGGCAGCGAAGAGCAAAAACAACATGGATCCAGCTCTGGATCGATCGTTCCCCCGATCGATCGGCCGATCGATCCCTGGTATTACGCAGACGTGCACGTGAGTTGTACGTGAGCTACGCTCGAACCGTACCCAGGGCCTTTACCGTCCGTGGATCCGAATCGGCGGGCAAGCTCGATACAGGGCCCCAGAAGTGGCGGAGGAGTAAGAGGACGAGGATCGGAGGTGGAAGAAAATTGCATCCACCGACGCTCGCTTGCTCATTTCGCACTCTATGCTCGTTCGTACGTGTGCCCCGGCCTCGGATCCGCTCATTAGGCGCGAATAAGAAAGAGAGGATAGAGGTCTGGATACGATGAACAGAGAAAGAGACGAGTAGAACGGTGCGACCGGTAAACGAAGCATTTCGCGCCCGACCATTTCCCCATTCATCTGATAGGTGTGAAAATGCTCGCGTTACCGCATACAGCCGCCAGAACGAATTCGCGGAGGGAAGGGAATTCAGGAGAAAGAAGGTGGAAACGATTTGCAGGTGGGTTTTATAAACTTCGTGGAAGAGACGGACTAAGAGAAGACAGGATGAAGGATATTGGTATCTGGGTCGTTTTAGATCGCGAGAGGAAGATACATCCGGTTCGTGAACCGGATTCGCGAGAGTGGTAGAACACAATTTCCTCGATCGAAAGTGGATCTCGTGGAATGCTCTGCCTCGATATGCAAAGACACTTTTATGAATCGGAGAATTGCAAAATCGGTTTACTGTAAAATTATCAGTAGAGTGATGTTAAAGAAGAGACGAAGATATCTGGATTCTGTTAACCAAAGAACAGGATGCCAAGTTTTCATCCCCTCGATGAGGTCATTACGATGGCGACCGATCTAGGAAGGTGACACGAGGCGCGGCAAAGTTCGCCCCGAAGGTAGCGCGGGTGCTGATCGACGGAGAAGGTGGCGGAGGTCGGACGAAGAGGAGGAGGTGGAGGAGATTAGGGCAAAGAGAAACCGCAACGTAGCTTCAAAGAGGTCTTGCCAGCCAGGGGCGCGTCTACTTAACTTTGATCAGGTCGAGACCGCTGATGCGAGACGAGCCACGCAGAAATAAAGTGGCTGCCGACCTTCCCGCCTTTTTGCATCTTGAATTATCGGCACCTCGAATATATCCTTAGAAACTCACAGATTCCCCTTGGAAAGCACCCCCCGGCGAAATAAACAAGTAACCTTTCTGTTTGACTTCGATCAGAAACTCAACGTCCTGTCGATTGACTTCAATTATCACTTTGAAATTATTAAATCCTGTGACAAAACTTACAATATACCCAATTCTTCGTATTTCACTTCGAACAAGACTTTTATAAATCGATGGAAATGCAGTAAGAATATTTCAACATCGTCCTTATATGAACTTCACCAAAGAAATGTGGCAAAAATGGCAGCTGTCTATTCTGTTAATACGAGAGCACACGTCCAATGGTTGGAACTAGAAATGGCGTGAAGTGCGACTTCTGAATCACTCGTGATTCGATCATGTACGTTATGATATTGATGATAAATCATTGTTAGTAATGTTGCACGCCACCTCTAGTCGGAACACGAGAAAAACTTACAATGTCAGTGACTTCTCGGGATCAGTTGAATTCAGAAGAATGACATAGGCGTGCAACGAGAACGCGAGGCGCGGAGAGGAGACAGTTTTGCCTCGTGCTAGAGAGTATCCAACGGGCGCGTCGCTGCGCAGCGGGGGGATCAACGAAGGAGAAGAGATGGAAACGGCAGGTTGAATGTCGTTATTACGTTGAATTAGAGGGTGCAGAGCCGGAACGAGGTATGAAACTATTACCTCGCGAAACGGCAGACCACCTCCCTTCCCCACCTCCGCTGGTACCGCGCCGTCTACCCCTCCTTTCGCGTCGAGGGTGGGGTTCGGTGTGCGAGCTTCGAGTCGCTTCCACGAGCCACGAGGATGCTCGTCGTCAGCGGGAAGATGATGATACCCGGGGAATATCCGCGATCAAACAAAATAGAAGCAGACAGACCAGAAGACACGACTTCCATATCGCTGCTGATACTGTGACGAAGGTATCGAATCGACGGTGTGCGATTAATTAGCAACGCGAATCGAATGATCTGGTGTCCGCGGACTATCAACAGAGTTTTGACAGTCTTAATCGGATCTTTCCCGTTTCTAGATGGTGTTGGAGGGTATATGTACAGTAATGAGCAAAGTCGGCTTCCACTAGGGAGAAATATCAATTAAGTTACGAAATTTCCTTGTCTCGAAGACAGTTCAAATGGTGATTAACCCTCATCCGCCTTCATTTTCCCATTTTAATTTGTCCCTCGGTGTCAAATTGACCCAGTGGTAAAAATTAATACAATGAAGTGACAAGTAGTTAACTTTGCAAATTCTCAAAATAAAAATCACGAAGCCTCAGCTAAATTTACCTAGATGACAGAATAATGTCATTTCGTAGGACAAAAATGTGTCAAATTGACACAAGGGACGGACGAGGGTTAATATCAAAGTGAGTGCTCCGATGAGCTTCTACACGACTGATATCGCCGGAACTTGAATTACCAAATGATGTAATCGGTCAGGGCCGATCGTGAACGATCGTGGAAGGAACAAGACTCACCGCCGTGTTGAGGGCTGTGCTTGTAGCAATCCTGATGAGCCGAGGAGCCGCCGGTAGCCCCGAGGTGTGTACTGGAAGCGGGCGATGCGGTCGGGTCGGTGTTGTTGGGGTTTGTGCAGGCACCACTAACCGAATTCGCGGTGACGTTGTTGCCGACGTGATGCTTATTCCGTCTGTATGGGTCCGGGTCCCGTAGATAGGGGGTGAAGGGGCTCGGCGCGTCGTGGAAGGACCCTCGTGGCAGTCCAGGAACTCGAGGAAGCGCGGGAACACGCGCCAGCCCCGGGATGTGTGTCTGTCCTGGAATAAAAAACGATACTCCTCGAATAAATTCTGCTGAAAGGTCCCTGAACAATATACACTGCTCATAAGAATCAAAGGGTCGTGCATTTCAGCCACTGTGTGATTGTCAATATTACAATTCCTGGCCACTTTATGGAATCGAAATTAGATTTCGGTATTCTAGGGGAAAGATGTCAATTTATGAGACCTATGAGCATCTGTCTCCGTTTCTTGGATCAGCTGGAGCTAGGGATGAATCGATACAAGTAAATACGAGTATATTACTCGATACTGTTATTTCAATACCGAGTAGGTATCGAAAAAAAGTACTCGTATCGAATGCAGTGAGTATCGACCTATCAACATTTGATATTAGAATAGGACCCCAAATAGTAGCAATTTTCTAATTTTGTTGAGCAGTGTATATTCAGGACCATCGTTAATTCAAAGATTTCTTTGGAAAAAAAAATTGTCTGCACTGTTAAAATCTCTGTATAATAAATTAAATGTGGACAAGAGTCAAGATAACATTCTTTCACGTAGCAAGCGCAAAGAATGTTTGATCTATCTGAAGAACGCCTTTGAACCAAGTGAATCAATCTTCCTGATAGATCACAGACCACTTCTTCGGGCAATCCCGGGTAATCCAAACGAAATGACGGACGTCCGCCCGGTCAGCATGGGAAGATGTTTGTGCAATTAGCCCGGACAGAGTGGGATAATTAAGAAACTCGAGCGATCCCCGTGTCTCGATCGGACTTCAATAGCATTCCACGCACATTCCAGACCCGGCGTACCGACAGTACGTCCCGAGGGGCCAAGTATCGCAACGCCTGTATGTATAGCGGACCGGACACGGTGATTCGCTATTGTGTCGGATCGCAATATGTGCGTGCGGCGCGTATCGTTCATACGGCGATGCACATTATGCGCCACGTGCACAGTTCTCGACTGCTTGCATAACCATCGAACAGGACATTTAGCGGCGAAGATGACCGGTAAGCTGGCTGGCGTAACTTTTGTGGGCTGGCTCAAGGGTTCTCGATATCATTGTGAAAATTCTATTTCGGGGATTGGAACACCGTAGCTCCACAGGATAGAGAGATTAATAAAATAATACAAAAATATTTTAAAACGCGAATATTAAAAAAAATTATAAAAAATGTAGCGGGGACAACGGAAGGAAGAACAATAATTTGGGGTCGGATGTAATTCGGACCTTACCATTAGAGGGTTAAAGTAATACTTGTGTGTTGTGGTCATCGACATCACGAGCACAATAATGGGGATAAACAGGAGTCGCTATCTTCAACAAAAAGAAATCTGTACTTGTACACCGACGAGCAAACTCGGCTTCCGTTGGGGGAAAACGCGACGTAGAAGAAAAGTCTACCACTTACTAAATTTATGACAAGTTCGGAAATAAATGTTAAATCGAATATTAATTTGGCATAAATTTCAGTACCTCCCAAAACTAAATGGTAGGAGGCCCTTTCCCTCCCTCACATTTTCCCCTAGCGGAAGCCGAGTTTGCTCGTGAATGTACGTCGCAACACGCTACCAACGGATTCGGATCTTCGGTCAAGGTCCCTGTTCCCAGTCGATAATGTTTCCGTACTAATGTCTCTGGAAGCCTCCCCGCGATCGCTAATCAAGAGAAGTGGCGCGTCGTTCTGCTTTCCTCTCGAAACGGGCCCGGTACGGGCGAGAGGAAGCCAGGAATGGGAGCCAAGGCGCAAATTGTTATTCCAGCATCGAGAAGGAACCGGGACGGGAGGGGAGTAAGAGAAGGTACCATGAATAAAGAAAGAAAATCGTTCGACATAGGGAAACCGCAAACTGCACGAAATTGTCGGGCAGCCCAGATGGTCAGCTCCGGTGCGCGCCAACCGATGCCTACAAGATTATTCGCTCGCTACCGACTACCACGATCGTTCGCCAGGAGAAACAAGGGGAGCTTTCTCTCTCACTCTCTCCCTCTTATGTTCAGCTCCGCGGGGCCGGATCCCACGACTTCTCACGTACCGGACGCTCGTAATGCCCCAAACGTACCGGCGGCCCCGCTACGCGTCCGACACTCTTTTTGGGCAGCTCCGTGTTTCCATTCAAGAGAAGCACAGTAGAATGGGAGTGCACGCCGTGGCAACCGTCGGGATAATTCCGTTCGGAACTGCTGGGACTGGAAGGGGAGAGAGCCCACGAAGATTTTGTTCCTTTCACCCATCAGATCTCCTTGGTTTAATTGTTTTATTCTGATGTAACGTTTGAGGATAGCTCCCACAAGTTTTAGGGTATGGTTTTAGCTCCTTTTGAATTTGACTTGGACGATCACCTAATCAGTCTTTGGATCATGTACTGTAAATCTGTGTCATAATTTAGTCTTCTTGTTTGGTCGTATTTTATTATAGTTCCGTATTAAATATCGTTTATACTATTAGTCAACCGTTTTATTACTCCCACCTGTATATCACCCCTGCATGGGTTCCTGGACGTTCCAGTTGCTGTTCACCGATGAGGAGCTAAGTACAGGTAGAGTTATGAAGATGCTATTGAAGATTCATCCATGGTTTTCCATGTCAGAATAATATTCTAGTCTTTGGAAGGAATCATTATGGTAGCCTAGCAGTGTCGTAATCGTAGATGGTAATGGGTTTATGGGTTAGTTGATGGTGTGCCGATGTTTTTGGTAGTCAATTGTTTGGAAATGTACCTGGTATCCGAATCTAGGAGCGTAAAGGCGGTTAATTATAATAAACAAGAACGATCGTGATATAACACCTTCGTCGATTGCCCTTTTGGCTCGTGGAAAGCCATGGTGAGGCCAGTGAGAGAGAGCAATAATTCCAATCTCCGCAGCACGAGTGGTGGGCTTATCTAATCAAAGTGTGGCGGCCCCGGAGGACGGAAATAGCGCGGCTTTTTCCTCCTCTCTAATAACGGGCCCCTCCCTCCGCTCGTCCTTACGTCCTCCTTGACGCCCGGGGTTTGCCAGCATTTCGAGAATTTCGCTCGTATCTTTCCTCCTCTCTCGCGCACTGGCCCGTTCGACCGTTGCGTCGAAACATTTTCGGTGGATCGCTCGAAAAAATTCGAAGAATACGAAAAATCTAACCAAGTAGCTGCTGATTCCTTTCATTAGCGTACTACAAATTAATTCAATACTACTTTGGCTACATTGATATTTGATTTTCGAAGAAAGCAATTTTGTTAACACTTAAAATAATAATGAATAGAGAATGGATTTCATTTACACGATACGTCTAAAATTGAGTGAACTTTAAAAGTATCAAGCAAAGTTCTGTTGAGACCTAATGAAAAGGCCTCACCAACGGTGAAAATAGAATTTTCGTAGCAGCTTTTAGATCCTCTATTTTTCTAGTGTCTTTAATAAAGGGCAAATCTTCTGGGATCTTTTGTCTGAACGTGACTCGAAATAATTCCATAGCGATTCGCGAGTGAACGCCCCGCGAGGCCTGCGATTTGTCGCTCCATCAAGAGGTGTCGCGAAGCGTCCTTTAATCAGGATTTTTCAAACGACGTTAATCGAACCGAAGATCGTGGCTCCGTTAACCTTCAAATTCTATCAATTATTTTGCTGCAAAGTGGCTACCCAAACGATCATTCGAACCCCTCCCTGTACACTATCGATTTCTCTGCATTGAATATTTACGTATGTGCTCAGAGAACAGTCATGTTTCCAATTATTTCGCCTCGAAAGTGACGATCTGAACAGAACCGTTGCCGAAAATCGTTCGCGATGTCGATCTATCGGTCTACAAAATTCATGGTGTTTTTCCAGAGGAATCACGTTCAAATTTAACGTTTTCATCGGGCAATATCGGAACCGTTCGATCATTCGCCCCCCCTCAGTCACGGAATTAAGCTGATTTTTTGGCAGGCGCAATTTCGATTCCCATGCGACCCCTTAAATCCAGATGCCAACGGGATTTCAAGCATTTTCTACGAGAGGACAGGAATTATTCCAGGACTACCTGTGCACGCTCTACAATCATCGTATTCCGAACGCGGAACAATTATCGACCGAGCAAATTCAATTTCAACCTTTGAGCGAGAACGCCTGTCCACAGATATTGTTCCATCGGGAAGCATTTCGATGATTCTGGACGACGATGACGGCTGGTAGCCACTCTGCTCCACGATCCCTTTCATTCCATTCGATCGCTGGCCCCCTGTTCCATTGAGCTTCCATCGTTCTCCGTGTCGAAACATTGGCTTTCCACAAAATTTCTTCGATCTAACGACTGTATATTCTCTCTTGCAAACGAATTGCTTTTGGTGCTTGTACATCGAATCAGAATCTTATTCGTCTCTGGATCGAATTCTTTTTTTAATTGCCTTTGGAGTTTCCACTTCGAATTAGAATCTTGTTCGTCTCTGGATAGAATTCATTTTCCATTCACAATCTTTTTTATCCATCAATTTACCATTTCTGTATACACCTTTTACAATCTTCTCGCCCCTCAAACGGTTCCGGTCAGCCAATCTCAGCCTTGGAAGCTCCGTTAATCCTGTCACTTCCTGCTTCACATCTCACCTCTCTACTTCCCAACTATCGATTACGATCGATCCCACAAAAAAAAAAACGGTACGCGAATAAATTCCAGGAATCACTCATGAAACACATACACACACAGTCTCTTGCAAAGTAGGCATTGAGTTCTCCAAGTCCCACGATTTCTGCCTTCAGTTCTCGATACACGTTACAGACTCCTCTCGATTATCGTCTCGAATCGGGTCCGCATCGGGACAACAATCTTATAGGGAGAAATGCTTCAGAACTTCGTAAATTCTTTTTTTGCCTGAAGCCCGAGCTTCGGCAATAAAGTACAGTAATGTCCCGATGAGTGCGACGTACTTGGGTACGTTTCGGAGCATTCATGACAAGACAGAAAGGGTTTCAGCTCCTTATTAATTTGTTTTTTATTCGAAACCAAGCCTCTGATTAGCTTCTGTTTACTCTGTTTTTATTGATTCCAGATGGGAATCTCTCGAATGGTGGGAATAACGCTGTTGCCCGTGTCGCTATTATCAAGGAATCAGACGATAATCGAGAAGAGTCTGTAGATCGTTTCTGGTCGATCCATACGAACGTCGGGGTCTACACTTTTGCTAATCTTGTTACGTGTCGTTCCAGGCCACGGTAGCCGCGTTTCGACGGTATTTACACGCGTCGACTGCTCGGTCGAATTAAAGAAATTGCACCATTATCGGTGCCCACGATTCTAAACAGGGTTGCTAGCGCGGTAGAAAGAGGCGACCCACACTAGGGAACATTTGACAGGGGAAGGGGAACGTGGTGGCAATTTTCGATAACAAGAAGCTCACGATTATCCATCCAATAATGATAGCCGGCAGGTGTCTGCTGAGCGGTGGGCGCCTCCGAGCACAATGAAAGCGACGGTTGTTTTGCCCGACGGCGCTCGTACGGTCTCGACGGTCGTTACATAAATTGTCCCTGGTGCGTGCCAAGCCGAGGAGACACGCCACCACCTATCTCACAGCCGAAAACTCGTGTATATGCAATATGTCGTGGATGCGTGTCCGATTTCGACAGGGAGCCCAGGCAACACCGTCGTTGCCCTTTGTGTCGTTTTCTCCCGTCACGGAGCCAAGGGGGTATGTTATAGTGTTGGCCCCCCGTTTTTGGTATGACATTTGGAATTTCGTTTTTGCGAAGAAACTATAACACTTTTTGCACTCAACGTTTCGGGGTATATTTATACATGCTTCAAGAGCATTTAAAATTTTTTATGTTGAGTAATAATCAAAATTGGTGACATTGCATGCCGTTGTACACAATCGCTTATAAAAAAATGGCGAAGAGAAGATTTTAAAGTGGGATAAGTTTGGCTATGACAGGACCAGAACGGAAGTCGACAATTAAAACAATGGCATCACGTTAAAATTTGTATGTTTCTTTAACTTTCGGAGGTTTACAAGAAATGGAAAAAATCGTCGGTACCAGTGCCTTTCGACGGTTTCATAGTAACGGAACAATGACTTCCACCCCCTTCGTATTCCACCAGAATAACATCTACAATTGGATGTTACCTCCACGTTTAACCACTTTGTTTAACACTTCTACAATATTCCCGACAATCCAACAAAAAATTTCAATTTTTTTGTTTCGATTTTCAATCGAGCATACCGAAAGACTGACTGTATATATGACAAAATAGCAGAGACAGCGGTGTCAACGCGTAAATAGTACACAATTACCTCGACGCCACGTGAAACTTTAATTCGATGTTTAAACGCGAGGCTCGATGACCGCTGGAAAATTGACGAATATTGTCCATTTCTCTGTTTCCCGGAGGGGGTGGAGGGGGCACGGGACGAGCGATAAAAAAAAATCGTTAGTAAAATCAATCACGGTGGAGCATTTTCGAAAGGGGGAAAAAACAAAAACTCCGCGAGGTCGGGTATACGGTATGGGATCGCCCTACGCCTATCAATACTTTATACAACAAATGCGAAACGTCCGCAAAAAGCTACCGTATTCGCGGTCGACTCCGCAGCGGCTATTAATCTGATATCGAAATAACAGACATTTTTTTTTTTCGTTTTTCGCTGGCCACACTAGTCGAGCCCCGAAAAAGAGGCGTTGGAAAGGCTTACACTCGTTTGTGCGCTCATGTGAGTTGAATGTTTGTGAATTATTTATGCCCCTTTAAGCAGCCTCGGTCGACAAATATTTACCAGGGATAAATTTACATTTCGTTGGTCCATTATGTGAAACCGACCGCGAATAATCAAAAAACGCGGAAGTTTAAGCGGTCCGGCTTTCGCGGCTTCAATGGAATTATTCCTGGTGATTGGTACCTACCAGCAACGCGCTGGGAGTTATTTTCACGGTTTCTGAATCACCTTTTATGAATATTCATGGGTTTACGGTGAAACGGCCTGTCACCTAGTGTACTGAGTCACAGATCCCCATTTTCGGAGGCTAGATCTGTAGATAACTTACGGATAGAAAGTGAAAGGTCGATCTTATAGCTACATGGGTGTAAATTTTGTATTTCTCCGGGGTACATTTTATATTTCTATAATAATTTACATCAATTGAGCCCCTCAGGAAATGTACTTCATTCAATTTTCAATACCCCACATCAATATCCTCGAAACGAAATAAATTTTTTCCAGATACCCTAGATTTTTCCTAAAACCAGACGAAGATTAAGGGATTATAGAACAATGACGTTATTTGTATATCGCAAATATGTGTACCCCCGGTTATTAGAGGATCGCCCAAGCATCAATAATTAACAGGATATTTTTGGAGGTTTTCATAGTATATATTACGGTAAGTGGATTACTTTTCGCGAATGTGCTGGTAAAAGCATTGTCTATGTAGCACGAGACCGTTGGGGGGTGGAAGGGGGGCTGAATAGCTAACCCGAAACACGCATAAGCGCGGTACGCACGTCGACCACTGCATCATCGCGCACCATCTGCTCGGTAATGACTCCCCATTACCGCGTATAGGGACTTTCGTTGAATTATCGGTACATTTTCAGGGAATCCACCGGCTAGTAGCAGCCGGTGGCCGCGGATAGATATCTCGCGGGCAGATCCACCGAGCAGGGGTGTGTTGTGCGTTGCGCAGAGAGACTGGGAAAGTGTGTTCTACTCACTCGTTTTGGAACGTGGCTCCCTTGGTCCGTCCACGGTTACCTTGATCGCTCTGGTGTAGGTCGCCACCTGGGGAGGCGTCGTTGACACGGTTATCGTGATACTGAAGCTCTTTCCTGCGGCACAGACACCGAACGTTACTTCGTTACATCGGAGAACATCGATAGGGGGGGTGAACGAGGGTGCTAAAATTAATTATCATGGCTTTTAGAAGTGAATCTACACCGGTGAATATTTGATAAAAATGTATGTCAATAAGTAATTTCGAACTTGACAAGGATGTTAATTTGTTAGACTGCAGATTTTATGCATTTATCGTAAATGTAGATATGCAAACCACGACACAGTAAACATTTATGGAAAGATATATGTTTATATACATATTAGGTGTACAAATTAATTTGTGACCTCCTTTTCATAGATTTGTTTATAAAAAATCAGAATATAGTCTAGTCTTGAAAATATTCCCCACCATTTTCTACACATTTACGCCATTTCTCGGGCAGTTGGCGAATTCTTATGAACAAATTTGAGTCACTATATTTGGTGTAGTATTATACTACGAAAAATAAGCGACCCTAAAAATAGGCTTCCCGTGCTCTACAGGTTAATAAAGGAGAAAACTCCCTAATATAATTTCCATTCAGTAAATTAATCCATAAGAATCTGCATGTGCATAAAAATCTACAGTCCATTAATTGCACGTTGAAATATAAAGTCACCCCAGAGAATAGACGCCGCTGTAACACAGCAAATGACACCTAATACTTCAGGAGCTTGCCTATATTATTAAGCAAAATGCCTCCAATTTGTTAACACCAGTTGCCAAAAAAAAAAAAAAAATTGCTGTCTGTGGTCAGGACGTGTCCCGATCGAAATAGTTCACGGTTCCCTTCGGCAATTGCGCCGGGGGACCATTAGATGTCTCGGAAGACCGCGAGAAGTTCCTTCGTGTCGTCCAGCCTCTAAAAGGGGCAGCGAGCGAAGCCGAAGGGCTACGGGGGTGGAGCACCGGTGTACATATATCACCGGCGAAGGTCTCGAGGTTGAAGGTCCGGTATATTAATTCCCTCTCCATAAACGTCCGTCGCTGAGATTGACTACGCTATTTTAAACGGCCCATCGCGCGCTAATATGCATTCGGTAATTCGCCCCGCTGTCCGGCTCAACGAAAGGAGCAGCTCTTTTCGCGGCGAGGAAGAGTCAACCATCGAGAATGTTACTTTGTGTCGGCACGGAACCGACCACTTAAAAATAGATTGGGTCCGTGGGAAGGAGGTGTTGATCGTTTTTGGAATGGCGACACTTGAACTTGGAAAAATGTTTGCGACTGGTAGCAGGGATTTGAAGGATTGTTGGAATTCTTCGACGTTAACCACTTGATGCTGGGGTTTTTTGGAAAAATCACTGGTATTGGTTCGACAAAATGCATTTCTGAATAGTTAGGGGCAGGAATAAGAATAAACAATCAATTGCAAATTGTGAAATATCTTTTTTTTATCTTTTATTCGTTATTCAAAACTCTTTATATAATGAATTTGCCTATCTCTGGTTAGGGGTTAAGATCGACTATTTGATTTCGTGGGGGGTGCAAGGAAGGGTATAAAAAGTCGGATCGAAATCGATCGAATCACGGATACAGGAAGAAAGACCGTTGGTTCCCGTTAAAGAGAGGATGATATCCTAACGTGTCGCGGACATATAGTCGTTTGTGTTGGCGTAAACGTCAACGATTTGTAATTGTCTCCCCTTGGCGCGGCCTGGTCCACCTCGCTGTGTCTGTCAACATGATAACCGGCATCAAACACCCCCAACCCCACCACCCCCCGGGAGCTGCAACTGACTGCAGAGAGGCCACGGCGTTATATCCTAGTTATACCGTGGCCCTCTCCCCCGCGTGCAACCGCTCAAACCCTCTTTCCACGCCAGTCATTGTATCCTTGTTACCGTCATCGTTCCGGCCGTGCGCGCAAAGTGGCTTGTTTCAGAATACCCGAAAATCGCGCCGTGTGTCGCGGTTGCTCTTCCTGGCTTTCGTTTTGGAATCGATCAACGGCGTCGATCACAGGAGAACCCTGTCTTTCCTGTTCACTCGCGGCCGCGAGTGACACGCGGGGAACGTTTGCAACTGATGGGACGGGATTGGAGGCGCGCCTTTTCCAAGCTGGAGCCTAGAATGATAGATAGGAGTTGGACATTTTTGGCCTGGTGGGAATGAACATCTTGTTGACCTAGTGGATCCTCTTCTGAAATAGTTAGAGTTTTATATATTGACAGACTAGTGGTTGAACCACTTATATTGTAGAACCTCTTTGAAGCTTCTATCGTTCTAGATATCCTAGAGAACCACTAAGGTCATATATCTTACAAAACCTCATTGAAGCTACTATCGTTCTGAATGTCCTAGATTCTTGATTCAGAGAACACGGTTTCCAGTCGAAAAAAAGGGTAGTCCATGAAGAGCTATCATATCCAGGAGACGTAAACGTTGCAAGGGGTTGAAATCGTAAGCGATCGTACGGGGGTCGCGACACCCGAAGTCCCTCCCCTGCCCCCCAACCCCTGGTGTTCCCTCCTCCGTTCGAGTCCATCGCATTTGGGGCTAATAATGCCGCACGGCCGATTCCCCCCTCCGATGCCCCGGTCCTGCGGTTAATACTCGATGATGGGAACGGTCATCTGCAGAGACAGGACACCCAGCCTGTGCATTCGCGAACGACGGACGGACGGACAGACCGACAGACAAAACCGGGCCACGCGTATGTGCCACCTATATAACGTGCAGAGCATCAAGCGGAGCGGGGCAAGCGCGACTCCGTGTGCTCGTTTCTCGGTGTGTCGGTGCGTTTCCAACGCCGAGGATGAGATTGAGCGCCATCCCAAAACCGCCCACACAACCGTCCGAAACCACTCGAAACCGTCCGTTAATACTCGTGGCACCGACGGCGGAGGAGGAGGTGGTGGAGAGGAGGGGACGAGGTATCCTCTCGCTCGTAGGGCTAGGCCGCCGTCGTTGTTCCAAGTGGGAGCCAGAAGCTGGGATGGAAAACGAGGGGTCGACGGAATGGGGAGGGGGGGGGGGGGGGGGGGGGGGGGGGGGGGGGGGCGAAGGTCCTGAGTCTCGCAACAGGATGTCTCTGCAATTGTCAAATAATTACTATCGGTGGTAATTTCAGCCGTGTCGATATAGACTGCGGTATATTACTAATTATAGGCACGGGGCGGCTGCCTCGGAACCGACGATGATGGGCCCGTTTCAGGCTGCAGGAGAGAGCCCCTCTTTCATCCGGCGCTACCAGCTTCTCTCTCTCATTTCCTTCTTTCTTTCTCTCTACGACCAGGCCCCCAACCCCCGGAACAGCGGTGCAACCTTCCAAGGAAGGTGATAATTGCGAGGATTCCTACCCTACAACTGACCGCTGACTTTGATTTATCAATCGTCTTTCGGATTACTACTCCTCCGATGGCCTGCGGTGACCCGTTTGATAAACTAATTTCCCGTCGAATTTTAGGGAAAAAGGGACTTCCTGTACTCGGTCGTATGTAGAAATAAAAGAAGCTCAATACGTATTCCTCTTTGAAAAAATAATCCCCTTAGGACCCAAGTGTTTTCTGGCGAATTCCTTGGGACACTCGGGATATTGGGTATCGACGGTACGCGGCACGGTTCAATCAAATTAATAAGTCGCGGAAACAAAACCTCGATGACGGGACGGTTGCCCGGTCAGTCGCGGCCGCTACGAATTGGGGGGGGGCGGGTCGGTTCGGTCAATCGTCGAAATTGAGTATTACGGATTATTGAGGATAGACAGAATCCAAATAAAAAAATCCCCCCACCTTCCAAAAAAAACCTGGACAAAGGGAACGAAGGATTTCGGCGTAGGGACGTGTCTCTTTCGCTAATTGATTTCCCGGGGTTAGCGTGCCCGGTGTCAGGAGGTATGGTATAACTGGCTGACCCTGCACTTCATGATGAAATCAAATGAAACATAGATGATGCTATCGAACGTGAAATGCGAGAGCGCGTCGGCTCGCGCGAGCAGTCCGCCTCGTTAATTCATAAATGCACATCCTCCGGTGCACGCGCCTGGTCGAGGGTAAGGGAGGATGGGGGGGATGAGGCGGAATGCATTTGTAGAACCGTACGAATCAGTACACCTGCCTGGCACAATTGTCGCCGATGGACCCGGTCATCACTGAAATCCGGCCACCTTAATCCACGCTGAAAACGGATTATTTAAAAAGCTGCCGCCGCCGCGCGCGCCGCTGAAACATCATTTATTAAACGGTTCGAAACTCGTTTTTTCATCCCCATTGTGGTCGATGATTCGATTTTCGAGTTAACAGGATTCGATTTGCTTTTCAGGAGGAAGCAACGTTGATCTGAATTTAACAATAATCTCTACATACAATGTTTACCGTAGGGAATTTAAAGAAATCTCAAGTGCAGATGGAATAACCAGACGTCAAAGATTTATAAAGGACATTTACAGGATGATATAAAAAAGGGTTCATAACTTTTGGGGTAGATAGTACTCGTCGAATAATAAAAAAAGACCTCATATACATAGGTCGAAGGATTAATATTTTCGAAGTTATAATCGTATGAAAGAAAATAGTAAAACAGCTAATAAAAATTGTACAATACCCTCTGCACCAAGAAAAAGAAACAATGATAAGATTATACATTGTTTTCATACGATACGATAGCTTCTGATGCGAGAAAAAAATTGTTTAAACTCTGAAAATATTAATTTTTCAACCCATGTTTATCAAAATTTACTTTCATCATTTGGCGAGTGCTATTTACCCTAGAAGACACGAGTCCTTTTTGTGCATCACCTTGTATAAGGATTCAATTTCTTTTAATAATTAAATGTGAAAAATAAAAGAAGACAACGTGGAAAACTGTCGAAAAATTGAGCCGTTTCATTAGCAAGGAATTAAGCGAGCATCGACCGGATCTGCATGATTTTAGGGACTTAGCCTCTCTCTCTGTCTCTCTCCCTAGCCGACGGACGATGATTTCTGATTAACGGCCAGTTGTTTCGGATGCTAGACCGGGGCTACCGGCGGACATCGAGTAATGACTCTGGGGGCGGTGGGAGCGAGAGAACTCGCGGACGCGGAGGGTTGAAAAGCGAAGCGGTTCGAGGGGTGTTCAGGCCAGTTGATGACGATGATGATTACAATAACCGTGCTTTTAGAGGGTTCGAAATCACGGTACATGCCCCTGGCCCGTGCGCAATTTACTCGCTCGCTTTTTGAGCGACTTACAAAGCAAACTGGCTTTGAAGAACGTATACTGCAAGCCCCCCTAATTGAAACTTGCTAATTGGTCATCTCGAAACACGAACGAGCTCGTTAACCGGCTGATTTTTGGAAAAACATAAACAGACGGAAAGACAAACCATGTGTGTCTAGTATCAACATTCCCTTTCCAGCAAGAGATTGGATCTGTTGGGAAATTTGATATTGTTCGTGGAATATTGTCCCTAATATTTTAGTTATTATATATTCTATCTTAAACTCATTTGTACTATCAAACAAGCTTGTAATTCCTAAACGTTACGATTCTTGAATGTGTATAAATTATTAGGAATAATGTTGGATATTGTGCATCGTCGATTACGAGTTAAGTTTCGAACTTACAAGCCATTCAAGAATACAATGAAGAGCGTTGAAGTGTATGGATAAAAGGAGGATCGAATGAATTATTTCGGGAACTCACCCCTGCCGCTCCTTCCGACGAACCTGAGGTCGTTGAACTTCGCGACTTGGTTCTTCATCAAGGCGGTGGAATTCCTCAGTTCGGCGCAACAATTCTCGTCGTTACCCGCTCGCACTGTCACCAGAGTTCCATCGCCGACCTCGCCCAGGGCGACAACTTTGAATGCCACCGGAAGCGTCTTGTTGGACCGCCAGTGAGTCGGCAATTGGCTGCAGAGAAAATACGGTGACCCTGGAAAAGGGACGCATAATTATTGCTTCGGCTACCGACTGAGATAACATTGTCGTGAAAAATGATTTATTGTCTCTTTCGTATGAGAAATTACATAGAGAAACCTATATCCATTTGCTAAAATAAGGGTAGAAGTGTTACGTATAAGTTACATTATAAAACAGAAACTTCAGTAAAAGCCTCCTGTTATAGCATTTGCATGTTCTACAACATTCATTGATCACTATCTATTACCATTCCATTACACTATTCAACATCATTTATAACATATACCTAAGATATTTCACAGAGCAATCAATATTCCCTTCGTCAGAAGCCACAGAGATAAATCTAAAGATGATAAATAATCATTAGTAACTTATCCAAACAGAATAATTGAACCCTCAGGAATTATTTCCAAATACACCCTACAAATTGAATAAATCAAATTAACAGTATGACTATATCCAGAATACGATGCTCTTAATGCAACACAGATTATTATTGTATACTGTAACTCCCATTAAAAAATCCACAGCGTAATCATAGCCAACGAACTCATGGATCATGGATATGAAAAAGTTTTTAAAAATCGTGATTCACAAACCTGTGCGAACCAGTTCACCGGGATGTTCGGCCTGTGCCTCGCCGACAAGCCTCTCGGTCCACCAGAGCTCGCCGACGGCGGCACCCTCGCTCATCTCTCCTCCACCACCTCCAGGATCGGCGTCTTCGGCCTGCTGGTACCTGGTGTTCACCCCCTGAAGCGGCGCCAGTGAGGGGCCGCAGAGGCCGGCGCCTTCGTGGGATCCAACGGTGGCGTAATTCTCCCCGCAGCCCACGGGACCCACCGGTAGATGCATCCCATCGGCCAATAGCCGCCCCTCGTCCCCCAAACACGCACCCCCCGGGCAGGACGTCGTGATTCCACTTTGCTCCCTTGAAGGCAGTCCACACCTGCGCCGCTACCAGTTTCCGGTACGGCAGCTACCTGTTCCACTCAGCTTCTCTCTGCCGATCTCGTTGATCACCGTTACTCTCATGGTATCGCGTCCGACATTCTATATATTCACCAGACAATTATCCTCCGATTCCACGCGATAGATCAACAATTATTGCATTCACGCTCCATCGACGCCATGTTTTCAATGATCAGGGCACCGTTTGCAACGCACCACAGGAAAAAATAAATGTCCTAGACGCCCCCCTTCCCCTAACGTAATCCCCGAGATGTCATTGGTCCATATGACACGTGACCAACGTCTCGCGAAACCATCGGAATCGTCACTGATCTTGTTGACACGTCCTGTGTGTTTCTCTGCGTGCGAGGTTACGCGGCGGCGAGAGAGATCCTACAGGTTGTTGCTTCCCGATCGAACGTATTTACGGCAAAAACACTGGCTTCGTTTTCACTGTTTTCCCTTCGTAAAAGACCGAGGCTCTATCGCGTCGTGACTAACGCTACCGCCGCGCGCGCAATACGGTCGGTGGTGAACGGTGTGAGAGGTCGAGTGGTGAAGTCGATCGAGAGTATCGAGAATCGAGAGGAACGTCCAACGCGAACGTCAGCCGCGGTCGACGGTGCGCGACGTAATGCCGGCGGCGCGACTTCGGGCCGCGTGTTCGCGTAAGCGGCCCGGGACGGCCTAAGCCCTCGCAATTCCGAAGCTCCCCACCGTCGCCGGCGTCCTCCCGCCGTGTTCCCGACGCTCCCATATCCCCACTGACGACGGACGGATCGCCCGCCCTCTCCCCGATCCTGGACTCGTTTTATGACCACCGGTCCCTGCATGTTTTTAGTACGTATGCCTTTGGTTTACTTCTTATTAGCGCGCGAATCGATGTTCCTAGGGGATTTAGATTTTCGCGGGAGATCCATATTTATTAATATTGTTTATTTGTGAAAGTACTCTTACCACGCTAGGAACTACTTGTTAGTTGCGTTCGTTTTCAATCGTTTGACTATGGTACATATCGATTATCGTGTCATCGATTGCAGTGCATTGTGTATGATTTATAGGTTATATCGAACTGGCCATGATTAGACGTCTGGCCGCTGCGTCTCCAGGATCTTGCATATTCGTGTACAGAACAGGTCGTCTGATGCTTGGTTATGTATGTGTTTTGGAACCGGAATTCTTCGTCTACAGGTATATTTTTTATATTTGTTGAGTATTGCGATGAAAAGTTACTGCTTACTATGTGGACTTTGGCAGGGAATCTTACTTATCCGATTAGTCGTTCTGGATAGTCTTATGTTTCTATGATCCTGAGAAACACTTGAACTTCTATTTCTATCGTTTATTGCCAGTTATGAAACTAGTTTAATTTATTTCTAGTAGAGTTTAAGTATCAGAAGTATTAGATAGTAGAAATTAATGAAGCAAAGTAAATTGGTGCATGTGGAATAACCTTAAACACTTGAAGTTACGTCATTAGCGTATGACTGCCTTTTCGAGTTCGATATATTTTCGAGCATCGATAATCATTGATGATGAGTGCAGTTTTTTGAATAATGGCGTGCGGGAGTGTTCCTATTGTACAGTGCGGAAATCAGTCATAATTATACTATTAAAAGTGTTATAAATATAATTGTTATATAGTAGACACTTATACATAAGTGTTTATAAACGACTGTAAATAATATTTGAGATTATAGTAGTCTATGAACTGTACATGTTCATAAGTTACACAGTAGAATGCTAGTTTATAACCTCCATAGAAGTTTCGGTCAATATTGCAAATTGATATGAGAGCTATCTAACGAAAATGAGTCATCTAATAGAAGATAGTTGAAATTGGCTTTAAATAAACACACGTTTGCAGCGTTTCTTTTCCTCTCGAATGCGCTATTAAGACCAGCGTCGGTTGCAGGATAATTTCAGCAGATTTACGAAGGAAAATGTGCGCTGAAGGCCGTCGATGCAGCCGTGAAAGGTACGCAAACACAATAATATGCCACGTTATTATAATCGCTTTACGGAAATTCCGGTGTGTCATCGTAGAATATAACGAACTTCCGTCTATCTGCAGATTTATTCGTGTATGCAAACGAGCCATCTTCCGCATCGGACAAAAACCAGATCCTCGATCCGTTCCAGGTTAAATTACGTTTAAAACGTATGCATCTCTGGCCGTCCCAGTCGAGCGACGAATGGCGGGAATTAATTCACGGTAATTAGTCCGTTTCACCGCATAATCTTTCGCCTAGTTGTTACACTGATAAGGAGGAAGTACTATCGTCGAAATTATCCGTGTTATCGCGTTATTTCCCAAGGCGGGCCAATCTTTCGGCACCCGCGATATCATAATCGGTCCTGTCTCAGAATAGTTAATACTCGGAAAACATAATTGCAATTTCTCAGTAATATTCAACTACAAATTCACTAAATTACCTCACTACGTTAATTTAATTTACATCCGCCATCTTCGGTACTAAACTTCATTACTCTCTCCTTATCTTAACCACACCTATAACCATCGTAGTCTTTCTTTTAATTGATCCAGCTGCAAAGTGCTTCGAAATTTCATGAACATACAAATATAACTGTTCATTGATAAATAATGCAGCTTAGAGATTGAATAATTAAAAGAGGTTAGAGTAAAGAAGTTCTCCAGGTAGATAGAAGGTCGCAGAAGGTCAAAGGATTTGGTCGAAGGTTATCCGAGGTCTCTAAAGGGATGATCTTTTCACCTTGGAGAGATCCAAGTAGCATAGGCGATTCAGTGTTCCGAGCAAGGCGTAACAAGTGTCCGTGTGACGTCACGCGGGTTTCTGGAGGCGGAGCTTGTGATTGGGGGAGCAGGTGGGGGGGTGGGGCTCTCCCGCATCGTGGATCGTTCGCCCCACCCCCGCGATTTTGTTCTTCGTGCCACCGCCACCTTCGACCTCCTCCTTCTCTACTCTAGCTGCCTCTTTTCCTCTCTTTTGAACTTTGTTCAGCGACCCCCCACCAACCGCGCCTGCCACCAGGTAGGGAGGCTCGAGTGCTACCTGGGATAGCCATTGCAGGATGCAATCTCGATGCGGCTGCATCTGTATCTTCACTGGAGAATTAATTTCTCTCTAAAAAAGCCTAGTATAGATATAGAGCAATTCGAATTGATGCTTCAAGATAGGGATTAACAGAGACAGGTAGTAGAAATATTAGATTACCTTCGTGTTTCTTATCCTGAAGAATGAAAAATTATCAATTATTTAAAAATAGTAGATCTTTTATATTTTCTAACTACCTCAGAAGGTATAACACCTTTTCAGATGGTAACTTTTCAGGGAATTCTTCCATTTTATTCCTCAGTCTCATGTTTTCAATAAAGTATAACTTAACTATCAGTACATTCAGTGGAATTTACTCCAAGACTCCCGTCTCCTATAAATACAAAAGGAATCAATTCACTTGACTCCACCGTCGTCTGACCTTACTCAAACATACTACTCCCCCTACCTACCCCAATTTACCAAAACCCCCCGATAATCACCTCTTCTACCCTTTCTTCCCACAGGCACTGTCCCACAAACCAAACGTCTCCGTCGTCCATGGATCACAAATCACCTCGTACGACCCTTCCTTCCATCTCCTGAAGTCACTCCAGAAGATGGACAATTGGAGCAATCGGTTGTATCGTCGTTCCATCGAGCAGGCGTAAAGGTAAGAATTTTCCCAGATCATACGCGTGCGACAATGTTGCGAGAGGCCTTTTAAAGGTCTCTCCCCCGTCGCGGCGGCGGTGTATGCTCGCCGCAACGCTACCGTTTATTGCACTGTGTGGTCTGCTAAAGCGCAATCGAGGAAGCAAATGCGGTTTCACTCGTTCGTGCGGACTCGGGCAAGAATGTAATTAACCCCTCGGAAGCGGCAAGCTGGGCGCGTCAGCGACCCGTGGCCGATTTCGTACGGCGCGCTTTTCTTATCTGCCCGCCCTGTTGCGCGCGCGCGCACGCGCACGCCACGGCGTTAACCGGGGAACCGGCGGTCGCCGATCGGTTTTGTCGATTCACACCACCGGATCCACCGCAAAAATCGGGTGCCCCCGGCGTGGCGTGTCGTGAAACCGCAATTACTTACGCGAAAGACGCCACGCCGGGGCCCAGATCTATCGCGATCGTCACGTGTGTTTACGGAAATCGAACCGGAACACTGACCGCCTTTTATCCGTTAAGTCGCCTCGACGGTGTTCGCTTGTATCGTTGCTGCTTTAGCTCTCGAAATTACAAAATCTCTGTTGGTAGATTGTATTTAGTACGTGATTGCTATGAAGAAATCAGTTGTTTTTGGAGGAAAACAAAAGCGGTACCGTAAATTGGGGTAACTTTGTCCCAAAGTCCCAAAATGATCATTTTCGATTTCGAAAATTCATATTCCACGAAATACAGTGACTAGCAAGTTTGTGCACGGAATATACTTCTATTTGACTAAATTATTTACCAAAATGGGAATTCTATTTCAAAATTAAGAAATATTTATCGCAATTAATTGTTATTTCAGAAGTATAGATTTTGGGACAAAGTTACTCTGATCGAGTCAATGTTACCTTAACTTACGGTGACTGAAGCTAAAATGGACACGATTGTCCATTGTTAAGGAAAAACGTTTTGGTTATTGACGAATGAATACTACATAGAATTAAATTGTTTCTGGTGTAGACACACGTGAACGATTTGCCAATCCGTGCTTTATTTTTTTATTAGTTCGTAGTGGCATGTAGCTGCATGTTACATGGTTCTGTGTCAATCTGTGTCCGCGTGTTGTTTTCTCTTGAAACGAGGAGAGGGGGGAGGGGGTGGTTGATATTCCCGGTGGACAAAGAGATTGGCTCGTCGGCCGCCACGGGGTGAGCGAGATAACAGATTAACCGCCGAAGG